CCATTGAACTTGCTTTATCTACATTAATGAAAACAGCCAGCGTCGGAGCTAGCCGAAATCATGGGAGGCGAAACATAAATCATCAATGTTTGGGGGGCCAAATGCTAAAAAAATATCTACTCTAAGCCCTCCTTAAAAAATCTCCAGGAATTGATCTAAGGTTGGGGGGCGGGGGGGGGGGGGCACTGGCCCCCTGGCCTCAACATAGCTCCGCCACTGAAAACAGCCCAATGTTGCTCTTTTGTCAAAACAAGAAAAAAGAAAAGATGATGTTGTTGTTGCAACCTTCCAAACCACTGCTAAAATGTTGAACACCCACCACTGTTTAATATCTTTTGACGGATGCTATTGTGGAGGTTGACGTGGATTTGGCAACTGATTTGTTCATTGCTTGATTCATATGCTACTGTCAAACTTTCACATCTGATGCATACTACTGCCGGTACATATACCTTGTAATAATTGACGACTCGATGAACTCGGTGCTTTTACTGTTATACAATTGAATAAGGGGATGAATGATCATAGGCCGACAAAGTTTCTTGTACATGTATTTCTCCTGGGTGATAGTTGCTGATTGTTTGCATAAAAATAGAGCATGTTTCAGGTTTAAACATAATGTAAGATGGTGCTCTTGCTACTTGCTACACTCAATTCAATACGCATCAAGTCAGGAAAAATAAAAGGACGACAGTTTGACAAAACACATAATTCCATCAATTACAAGAATTCAGTGCATCAAGAATCAACAATAACTCATATAAATTCATGTTTTCTAACAGACTAGGGCCATTTACCTTACTATTCTTAGCTTCATTGTGCCAAGTTCGATACTCCCTCAGTTAGGCCTTCTTTGTTCGTAGGATTTTTGTAGGAATTCTATAGGATAGAATTTTCAAAGAAAAAAAATCTTTTGGAGCCCTCCAGTTTGTAGGAATGGGTTCATATTCCTATGTAGGATAGAAATCAATCCTTCATATTTTAAAGAAAATATAAAATAACTTAGACTCAATGAAAAAATTACTATCCTATACATTACCGGTATGCTATTATTGTTGTTTAATATTGTGTGCATCGCTTGATGCAGAGGCCAGGGATGATAGTTTTGATTTATGCAACAACATAAGCGTAGTTTACATCATAGAGAATCCAGTTTGCAACGCCAACACAAACCATACTGAGATCGACATTTGTTTTGTATTAGATTGAATGTCCTTGGGACCTAAAAAAATGTGCGTGTAATTATTCAAATTGTTGTATAAGTAAGTAATATTTAGGAATCACATTTTAAAATATGTGTATTATTCTAAGTAATTAAAAAAACTTTATATTCTAGAAACACTATTTTAATTATATGAACATTTTTAAAAAATTACTTGAATATTTTCTATATAAGTTATTTTATCTGTATGTATTATATATATTTATAACACGCAAACATATGAACTTTCTTTTTATTACTATCATTATAATTTGGGCACTTAGTATAGTTTCTCAAAAATAAAAATAAAAACAATCATGTGCAAACGGGGTAGACCGTAGACCATTTAAACCCCACTTCGTCTACAACAAATTAAGCCTTTTATGGTCAAAAAAAATCTAAGCCTTGTAATCTTACTAGACATCAAAATGCTATCTTGAGGTTGCCTGTTCGAGGTGAGACCCATCGGTCATAGAGACGTATACTACACAAGCTATCATGTTTTATTGTTGCATGTGGGTCCTATGCCATGCTGGCACGTCAATTGAAATATGATGTCATGCCATTGCATTTTGCGTGTACGGACCAGATTAACACCATATTTAGACGTGTGTGCTAAGTTATAAAACCAGTTATCTGTATTTCGCGACAGCGGGCACCAAAGTGAATATTTGTGTCAAGTTCAAGCATCAAGTGATGTAATTAGCTCTATCAAGTGCTATATTCACACTTCTGGTTTTAATATTACAAAAGGGATAACTTAACTATACATTCCACAAATCACGATAGAAATACAAGAAGAGCAGAAGCTCGATCATGTTTCCATTTTCAAGGTTTGATCCATCCTTTTCTTTTGACCTGTGATCCACCTATATATATTGAACCAAAGAACAGTTTTACAGGAGTAACTTGTGCATGCACGTCAGCAGCAGTGCGTGCGGGTGCTGGACCGTGACTTAGCGGCGCTGAGCATCTCCGTCACCATTTCGATCCCGTTCCCGGTCCACCCGTGATCTCTCTCCAATGGCCTCGCTGCGCCGACGACGACGCCGAGGACATGGATGACCAACAGGAGCAGCACTGCCACGTTCGCCGTCGCGGCCGCCATTGTCGTCCCGACGTGGTATCTCGCGCACGGCAGAGGCGGACAGCTTCAGCTGAGAAGAGAAAGAGCTCGGGCTGCCTCCGGAGCTTCAAGTGCGCTTCTTGTGCTTTAGGCCGCGGCTAAGTTGGATTTGGAGCTTGAGCTCGTTTATATAGATGCATCAAGCAAACACGCAAACTCAAGTATAGTCTGTGAGACTGTTCTCTTGGCGTGTTGCAAACGTGAAGGAGGGAGAAATCGTGCAAGACTCGTTCGTGTTCTCTGCGCTTAAATTTCCACCACGCCGCGCTGCCGGTCTCACACGCGGGGGGGTCAGTTGGAGTTGATGGCCTGTTGATCCCATACTTACGACACTTGAACCGTTCATGTTTGCTCAACTAGCAGGCTGCAGCGTCAGGCATGGGTACGCGGCAGCTGATGAGAAGTGTCGCGGAAACCTGCACTAACGTGAAGGAAGACATGCTTTTGAATCCGCGGTTCGTGCTTTCAGGTCAAACCGAAGAATATGAATATTATTATGTTCAACACAAGAAGTCAATAATGCGAAGTTGTGCATCGGTGCATGATCGGTCTCCCACCCACCATGGCAGCATTTGGAGGAGGTGGTCTCCAGTGATAAAGGACGCCATATGCTTTTCTTTAGCCTTCTCAAGACATTTGTTCAAATTACATGTCCAAGGTACATTTCTGCTTCCGTTGTGAGAACTGCAACTTGGTCATGAGACTTAATTTCTTAAACTTTACTTGTTTAAAGTTGTTGTATATATATGTATATGTTGCTGTTCTATCGGAGTTTTGTTTTGTTATCTGTTGTTCTCATCACTGAATGAGCGACTCATGTACTAAGTATATATTGAATTCATGCTACAGTCAACTTATCCAAAAGTCAAACTGATAGAGGCAGGTGGGCAATATATTTTAAGAAATTTATCACTCTATGCCAAGCGATGACGCTCCGGCTCAGTTGCATCGTGTGAGGCCTTTTGTATGATTTTCTACAGCTAGATTTGCATAATCTTGATTCCACCGCTACGGACAATACTTGAGTGTTCAGGTAAACTCAGAATTAGGGACGACCATATTTTTAAAAATTGGGACAACATATATTTTAAAAATGATTTTTTTGGGGACAAATCTACAGGAACAAAAGACCTTTTCACTTCAAATCGAGTCAAACTGCTTCAATTACCTTATGTGGGGTGGGTCTAACAGGTTTTCTGTTACTCTTTTTTTTTGTGGGGTTTCTGTTACTCAATTTGTGTAGATGATGGAATCCCAGAAAGATAAATAAGCATCAGGACCATACCTCTAAAATTGTCGCTAAACATGCAGAGCGTGTCTCAGATCAGGAGATGCAGATTGGTTTGAAACAAATACCATCACAAGCGCCCCTTCTTCCTAGTTACACTACTACATGCAAGAGTTGTACTTAGCCTCCAGATATAGAGACATACATACATACATACATACATACATATATATATATATATGGATAGTTGGCCTGCAAAAGAACTGATGTGCCAGCCCATTGCACAACAGCACAACAGTAGCATGTTCCTCATCCTACAACACTAGCATAACTCTAACCCGTCACATAACAGCACAACTGATTCGAACACACATGCAAGAGTTGTGCTGCGTTTGATGAGATGTCCATATCGTGATTTGAGCACAAAATGTTGCTCCGATTTTCACCGCACCGTGCCGAATGTTACCTCCTCGCCTTCTTTCTAGGTCTTCCGCTTCCTGTGAACAGTTATACCACATGAACGGTCATTGGTAACGCACCACAAGCTTTCAATATTTGTTGCAGTAAATGCAAGCAGCCCTTGGTAATATAATGTCGCCGAACCAGTGTTTACGTGCGGTAAAGAAATTGAATTGAACACATGTTTTGCAGGAACTGATTACCGGTTCTAAGAGAAAAGCATTTAGCTAAAATCGAATCTATACTACTCCCTCTATAAACTAATATAAGAACGTTTAGATAACTAAAGTAGTAATCTAAACGCTCTTATATTAATTTACGGAGGGAGTACTATCTAAAACACGAGGTCGTGGGATCCATACGATCTGGACCGTTCATCTTTAACTCAAATCGAATATGTATCTCTAAAGTGGTTCAGGAATTTGTGGCACTAATCATGGTTGGCAGTACAGCTTTTCTTTTGACGAACAATGTCTGCTAAGACGAGGAGAACACAATTTGTACCTAGATGGATTTGTGGACAAGCAAGCAACTGGTACTGTGTGATTAGCCAAGCATGCTGTCCTCCCATATAAGGTTATTATCTTAGTTTTTTTTCTCAGTTTCCATCTATTTGGTATGGTACTAATCATCATCAGAAGTTGTATAACCAAGTTTTAGATGGCTTGAGCTTGAACTTTTAAGACGGATTACATTTATTCAACAAACAAACTATCGTTATTTGGCTACTGCAGTTTCGCAATCACTATGTTTACATAGTACCAGGGCAGTGGATACAACTTTTTTGGTTTAGAGTACAAAAAGATCGATGCCCACTTATCTGGACTGAAGCATGATCTTTTAACGACATTCATTACCTGGGACAACAAAATATGATGTGCATACAGGGAGTTAAGGAGGTTTTGCAACACTTAATGTTTTTACCATACAAAAGCATTAACACTCAACTATGACATTGTTTTAAGACTTGCTTTCTAAAATTTGGAGGTGGCTTCACTTTCGTGCTATATATATTGTGTAAAGCATGCATTGCGCGTCGATGATTGCTAATAACTAGTAGCAAGCCTTTGTGATGTCACTGCCACCAAGTAATAGCCGAGAGATAAAAAGTTGATGAAATTAATGCAAATTATTTAAGTAACCTTTACGACCCGAATCATGTGATTGAAGCTTATCCAAAGCAGTGATTTGAGCAACTGAGCCACCCTACATAGTTACAAGTTTACACAATTTAGCAAAGGTACATACAAAGTAAAAGATCTTGAACAACACATGATTGCTAGAGAACATCAAAGAAAGAAGGGGCATAATTACACGACTATCACTATCAAATCATCATATGATAGTTAGAGGTTATTAGTAAAAATGTTAAGAGTTCTACAGCTGGCATGCCACTCAACTATAGTGTGGCAGCATTGTAATCATCAGGAGCAAAGGTGAAATATGACAGAACATTTCATATCTAGAAACAATGTATGGTTACTGTAACATGATATGATTAGAATGCTACATGATGGTTTGTTTAGAAGAGAATTAATCCCAGAATGTAGCATGTATCATGTGGTCAAAACTGGAACCCTGTCGTAATTGATTTTCATTATTAAGTTAACTGTTTCTCATTGTGTTTTCTTCCAAGGTGCGAAATTCAACCTACCTTTTTGTGACAAGTCGGACCGGCAGGGGGTGTTGTCTCTTCAGTTGGTATCACCTTCATACACAATGTTTCGTGCTGCATTGTCTTCCTCTTGGAGTACCGCCTCTTCAATGACGCACCATTAGACATTCCGCACACTTTGCCGCTCCGTAGTCTTCTTGAACACTGAACACTTCCATTCTCTGGACTCGCCCCTTGGTTTAGTGCTTCTAACACATGTTCTGTTCCGGGACACACTGAGCTGTTGCCCAACTTGGAAGATCCATGTTCTTCTTCTATTTTATATATATCATTATTAACTAAAGTAGAGTCCATGGAGTGAGTAACAATCCTCTGCCCACTTGCATCTGTCTCTATATCTTCATGTGAATTATCTGCTCTAGATGCTTGACCATTACATGTTTCTCCAGGTCCAGGATCTTCAAAAGATTCATCAGGCATACCCATCCTATCATTACATAATCCCTCAGATGCAGCCATGTTGCTCACTGAGATATCATAACCACCACTATTGCCAGAAGGTTCCTGAATTCTTGGTTTTACATAGTTTGGAAGCCCAGGTCCATCTGTATTACCAGTAGACTCTTTGGATGTTCTGAAATCAAACTCTGTCAAAGTATGTTCCATTGAATTGGCAAAGCTGCTGCGCAAGAACTTCTCTACACAATATTCAGTTGATTTTGCTGGAGATAGTGTGTGTTCATTCACCTGTTTCATGTTAGAATTAGCATATTTCTCCCATTGAATAGGAAAACCAAGCCTGAACTGTTCTGAAACCTGCATAAATTTAATGTGGTTAGATGATAAAAGCTTGACCATATGTTAAGGTACCATCCAAAAATGAAATTCACAGGGATAAACAAGACGGACAAGGGGAACTATTTAAGTATGAAAAACTACGAACAATCATTTTGGTAACAAAAAATCTAGAACAAACTGATGTATGAAGAAAGAAAGCAAACCTCACGAGAAAATCCATTGCAATGCATCTGTTCGATATTTAATGGACCCCTAGTTAATACAATTTTGTTATCTGCAGTCTCAAGAGTACCATCAGCATGCCGCACCGTAATGGAACCAGAACTGATTACTCGACCTGCTCGATTCCTGTTAGCAAAATGAGTATGTTAATGTTATGAGGTGTCGAGAAAAACTGCTCATTAACAAGCTAACAGATGGTGTAACACTGTAGAAATTTTGAATGCTACCAGTTCTGGTGCATACAACAAATAATACAACGAGGCAAAATTTCCTATTCATGGAGATACAGTCACATAAACCAGCATATGAGTTAAAGTGATGTTTTGACACACGATCAGAAATACAATCAAGGTTTATGGTTTTGTCTGCACTAGAAATATGATTTTTTTAACACAAAACAATGAGAAGCGATGTTCTAAAAAAAACATAATCATGTTCACAGTTTATCCTCCCATTGATGTAACACTATGTAACATATCATCAGCACAACTTAATGGAGTTACATCAGTGGTAAGGTGTTTATTTTCAAAATAAGCAAATGAGCTGCTTAAACCAGGTACTTGAGAATCTTATGTTTCCCATCAACTATTTTCCACCATGTACACCCGTATTTTTTACATATGTCGGTTTCAGAAAACCTTTAAGAACTACTTATGGTAAAGATCAAGTTGGAGATGGCGCCAACAAGGTTTATGATGTATATACCTTTTCTTCAGTCTACTCATGGTGGAACCAGTTTCCAGTACCAGTACGAATTTATGTCCACTAAGATCATAGAGAAATTTAAAAATTACACATAGTGCTGATGATATTGTTCATAATTTATGTGCATAATGATGTATTGTTCCTACTTAAACTTTGTTAGTTTTTTTTTTGAAGTCTATTTCCTTTAGCAAAAGCATAGCTGTTGACTGAATGTAAACTGTACACTCACGCCCAGATTTGCAGCATTGCAGGATGCAGCAATAGATTTTGGGTCAAGATAACAATGTTAATATTACTGAAACCTGAGCGCAGCAACAAACTTGAGGCATAGGAAATCCAAGCAGACTGAGATGTAAGTACAATTTTTGGGTAAACATCCATCTACATGCGTAGCACCGCAATAGCAAACAAATTACAGCGAGGGAAGCAACCTCCGAAAAATCCGGCGGGGGGAGGGGGGAAAGATAGGGGGGAAATGCCTCACTTCTCGACGTTGTCGATGTACCCGGCAACACGGATCTTGCCGCCTTGACCCCTCACCAGCCACCAGTCAAGGAGCGCAACCTAACCGAAAGAGGAAAAGAAGCAGGGGAAGACGTCAGGCCCAGTGCTTAGCAGGACGGAAGCGAAGTGAAAGGAAGAGGGGAAGTGCGAGCGTACGCATCTCTGCACGGTGGCACAGTAGGTGGGAGCACGCACGGAGGCCGGCGCTGGGGCACGAACCGCCGTCCCGTGGGTGGAGGCACTCACGGAGGCCGGCGCTGGGGCACGAGCCACCGTCCCGTGGGTGGAGGCACTCACGGAGGCCGGCGCTGGGGCACGAGCCGCCGTCCCGTGGGTGGAGGCACTCACGGAGGCCCGCGCTGGGGCACGAGCCGCCGTCCCGTGGGTGGAGGGGACTGGTTCGGGTTTGGACGCCATGCTCCGTGTCCTCATTTGAGAGATTTTTGGCAAGGGAAATGCTTATCGGTAGTGGAGGGCAAGTGGAGAGGACCAAGACTGGAAGGTCGACGGCGGCGGCGGCGGCGGCGCTTGGCGGCGGGGGGAGACTCGAGACGCCGGAGAAACCAAGAGGTGGCGGAGAGAAGGGCATGAGGAGCTTATTTCGGTGTCCTTTGCTTCAGTCTAAAAGCATTTGCACGCGACTCTCCTCACCGGGAATGCACTGGGCTACAGTACAGCTGGGCGTGTCCACCAGAGACGGGCAGCGCTAGGCATTAGACTGCTGATGCCCAGCCTCCCATCAGACCACTCACGAGCCCTACGATTAATCTAATCTGATGCGTTGGCTGCCCCGCTTGGGCAGTAATTTCTCGTGCGTACATAATCCAGCCTATATAAACTGCTTCCACAAATCATGCACTTTATTGGGCCAGCCGTTAAGTGGGCCTCTAATTACATGTAATTATTTGGCGATAATCAACCTTGGATTTATTAGGATGCAACTTACAGATTTTAGGTAGGTTGCTCGTTAGGAAGCGAAACTTTTAACCAACACCAAATTTGCATCAGATGCACGTGCTTCCACCTCTGTTTGTAATTCGATTATGTTTGCATTAATTGGAGAATTTGCTTATGCGGTGAATGTCTGCTTCGATTTATTTGAAAAAATTTGTCCTATCTAACACTATATTATGTTTCAGAAACATGACAATCTTGCTCTCATCGACTATCTTTCCCTAATAATAAAGCACGGATTGACTCACTGGGTTTATCGTCATAATACGCTTTTTTTCTCGTGTCATAATACGCTTTTACGATTTGTATAGATAAAATCGTAATATAAACGAGGTGGTACTAATTTGCCTGACCTCTCTGGCCCAAATACCCCTCCCCGCTCCTCCCACCACGATCTCCGGAGGCGCTCCTGCGCCCCCCACCTCCCACCCGACCGCCAGCGGTGCTCTTGCACCCCAACCTCCCACCCCAACCTCCGACGGGCCCCTGCGCTCTGCTCTGCGGTCAAGCCCCTGTCCTGGCTGGTCTCCTCCCTGCGCATCACCTCGCCAGCAGCGCTAGGTCGGAGGCGTACCCCGTTTAGCATGGTCGTGGCCGATATGTGCAGCTTCTCGGAAGAGGTCGTGGGGGAGTGGAGGCCACACCAGCGAGGCGTTCCCACCTACTAACCCGGCCTTCGGCGGCGCTCCTCCCGCCCCGACGTCCAGCGGCGCTGCGAAAATGGAGCCCAAACTACTGCTTCTCTCCTGCCCCGTCATGCCTTCGTTCTCCTCCTGAAACTCGGAGCAAAAGTCAACTCGAGTCAGAAAGTCTCTGTTGTGTCTTGCTCAAGCACGCTATCAAGCGGTGCTAGACATGGACTCTATATGAACCGCCATGCTTTGCTGCATAAAAAGGCCTCACACCTATACGGAAGCATATAATCTGACTATTGTACAATATCATCGTTCTACGAACTCCGTCGGAAAGCCGATCGCCCAATCTCGCCGTTGTACCAACTTCGTTAAACGATGGCAGCCACTGTTCCACCTGAGGTATGCCGTACAATCAGCAGTTTCTGATTAAGCAAACAAATGATCACTTTTAATTTTGTTATTCCTGCTGGTTTTCTATGAAGTATGAAGCATCCAAACAACATTTTGATGATGATGCAGAATTTAAAGATAGGGTTCAACAAGCTTGATCTTCTTAGATGCAGAGCCTAGAAAGATCGTGGTCTTCTCATTCTCTTATAAGCGATATAAACACTACAGGGAGGGGAGTAGAAGACGGCAGGGATGAATTTGACCACGTTTACAAGCTCTTAGATTACATCTTGAAGAAAAGGTATTCTTAGTTTCTAGGGCATAAAATTGATAGAGGCTACAACCAAATTGCCACTTTTCCCATTTGAAAAGCATACAAAAAATCTAATTACGCCATGTTTCAGTCTGTTAATTTACTATTCAGCCAATGCAATATGTCACTGTTACTTCCATGGCCTCTTTTCTGCAAGGAACAAGGGGTATTTAGAATTCTATATCTATTTCTGAAGTGCCTTGTGATGGTTGGTGCTTCATTAGGGAGGAGGCGGAAGCTGGAGTGACAACCGTGGTGCAGGAAGTGGGGTGTCATGGAGGCGGAGTTGGTCAGTGCGAAGTTGTGCGAAGCGAAGCCAGGCTACGCAGACAAGCAGACAAAGGGCGAAGGTGGCTGGGTGCGACAGATGGAGGCCCTGGGACAAGGTGGTGAGGTGAAGAGGACGGGGTCGAGAGCAGCTGCAGTGCGTGCATCTGCCCCCCTTCATTGTTTTTTCACCAAGCCTACATAAAATCTATCAAATTGTTCAGGATAAGATAGCTGAATACATCTACCTCTGGTTAATTTTATTTTTTAACATGCAAGTACTTTATTCAGCTGATCAGGTCTTCTTTTGCGTCCATTCCTCAATTGTATTCACTGGTTGATCGCCATGCATCGAGAACGTGTCGTCTTGATGCATCTATCAACATGGGTTATAGATCGAATTATCAACAAGTATGGTGTTAGCCAGTGTTACCGTGCTCTAAAACTATGCAATAGTGATCTAAAAAAACATAAATATCCAACATAGTGGTGGACTTTGGCATTTTGTGTTTTTGTTATGACTTGCCTTTGAATATTTTGTTAATTTTCTAATTAATCTTTCCTTACCAGCACTGTCAGGGTATGATTCACTATAGAAATTTTGATTTAAGATCTCAATGATGCCAATTCTTTACATACGTATAGTTGGTCAGCACCTACTTTCTGACAACTATATAGGAAATTTGATTGAAGATCTGATTGATGGCGAATCTAGGTATATTCAGCTCCTGCTTTCTAACCCATCAAATATTTTGGTATGCATTTATTTTCCCCTCATTAGTCAGATGCTTGCTGCCATTGGATATACAGTGACATCATTCTTTATTTCAGAAAAGTGATTGCTCCATCAGATTCACATAAAAAGAAATTGCACAACTGCTCCGGTTCTGATATCTGATGCAAAGGTGGAGTAATTGACTGACTTTTTTTTGACTCACTGCATAGGCAGCGTTACAGTAGAGATATGTTGTACTTCTCAGCATTATGTTCTTCCCTCAGTCTAAATAGTTACTGTTACTAATTATTATGTTCTTCCCTCAGTCTAATTAGTTAGTGTTAGTTGCCTAAATTAGAAGGGCAGTGGTAGCGAATTTTTACTTACAAAGCAAGTGTATTCTTTGGGCTTTTGGTCATAAAGGTGTCTTTACTTCTTAAAATTGCTAATTATTCTTTTTTGCTCACTCAATTTTGGCGGTTTCTCTAACCCGTTGCAACGCACGGGCTCTTTTGCTAGTAGTAATAGAGAATTGCTTCGAATATGCTTCCGTCAAAAATGAAAAATTATTTCCCATGTTTCATAAGCATCACGATTTTGCTTCCATCGACTAGAGAATTGCTTCGAACCTTCTTCTGTTAAAAAGGAAAAATAATCCATATGTTTTAGAAGGATCACGATCTTGCTTCCATCGACAAGACGACTACTTCGAACCTTCTTCTGTCAAAAAAGAAAAATATTCCACATGTTTCGGAAGGATCACGATCTTGCTTCCATCGACAAGACGACTGCTTTGAACCTTCTTCTGTCAAAAAAAGAAAAATATTCCACATGTTTCGGAAGCATCACGATCTTGCTTCCGTCGGCTAGAGAATTGCTTCGAACCTTCTTCTCTTAAAAAGGAAAAAACTATCCACATATTCCGGAAGCATCACGATCTTGCTTCCATCGACAAGGCGACTGTTTCAAACCTTCTTCTGTCAGAAAAGAAAAATATTCCACATGTTTCGAAGCATCACGATCTTGTCTCCATGGACTAGAGAATTGCTCGCAATAAAATGTTGTTTTGCTTCCATTAAAGAGAAACATATTTTGTCTCCATGGACTAGAGGATTACACATGGTTCATACGAATTCTTGGTTAGTTTACAAAGAGAGAGAAAGTTCTACTGCCAAGTAAAGTCAATTTGCTTCCATACATAGAATTTCGCTAATTCAAATGTGACCTAGGCATCGTGATTGAAGGCGGGATCCACGACGCGGGCGGGTAGAAGCTGGGGTGCCCCTGCCCAAGCCCCTCGATCTTATTTGCCATGTCGTCCTTGATGTTGTATTCCCTGACAGTCTGAAGCATCTGAGTCGTGGAGGAAGTAAGACGGTGACAAATCTGCATCCAGGTAAGAGTATCAATTGTTTGCATCGTACAGTTTTGAACTATGAAATTGACAAGAATAAGATAAATCAATAGATAGTGCAGCAGGATTGTTGGCCTTTCTGAGACATGCATTGTGGCCATGAGATATGGGAATGGGGCACGAGGAAGGTCACCGACGTGCAGCCTCGTTGAACCGGTGGTGGAGGCAACGGTGGAGGAGCGCATATAGCAATTTATCAGATTGGATCTGCCGCTTGCCGGAGTGGTCACAGCGGCTGCCTTTGCGGAGGATGCGAGCTGCTACAACCACCTCTTGCTGATGTGAACGCTGAATCACTGCTTAATCCCTGAGTAGTGCATGTCGTGGAAGTATGGAGATGGAGATGGGCATGGCCAGAATGACAGGGAAGCGAACAATTGGGGATTTGTTTTGATTTCCCCACTAATCGTGGGTGCATGATTAACGGGTTAGTTGGCACCTTCCTTCCATGATTAATGGGTGTGTGGGAGTGGGAAGCGAGGGAGAGCTTCTCGGCCATGCGATGGAAACCGAATTGAGGGTATAGGATTGGTCTGAGGATGGGAAACAATTAGACGTATGAGGAGAAGTGTTTCCCATAGAAAAATACCAGGCCCAGATAACACCTCCCCAAGTGAAAATATCTATGTATCCTTCCAGTAGAAGTAATCTATTTCCCTTCCGTCAGCTCCCCTCGGGGCTCGTTTCCTCTCCCACGCATCCCCTTTCCTTTCCAAAGCGTCCAACCAGTCTTGCATCTCCGCC